GAGAGCTGTTAGAGTTTGTGTTTTCTTAATGCAGGGTGGGAGAGGTTGGAACCTCCCAAGGTGTGAGAAGCACAAACAGGGACCTTTCTCTTTTCCTATGGAAATACTTGAAACCCCTGCAGGATTCGTCATGACAGGAGAAAATCCCTCTCAGATGGGTCAGGACAGCAGTGCTCTTTGACTCAAGGGGGCAAACTCAAAGAAAAGCCCACAGCACAGGCTGAGAACTGCTTCTCACTTCTCACACAGCAGGCAAGATATTTGCTCCCCAAATGCTATCTGTAAATGTGAAGAAATGGAGAGCAGGTCTCTTCTGCAGCTCCATTAGGAAAAGATAAAAAGTTGGATAAGTGCTATTAAAATAAGTGTTAAGAAGTGGCTTATACCATCTTGATAAGTGAGACGTTGTAAAAATTGGTTTTTAAACGATGACAAGTGAGGCATCATGTTCTCCTGTTTTTAGTTTTTGTCTGTCTGTTTTTTTATGGAGAATTTCAAACGTGTTAAAGTAGAAAGACAGTAGAATGAACCCTATAATCATCTTCAATAATTATCAACTCATGGCCAATTTGTTACACGCTCCTCGCATCTCCCCCCAATATTAGGCCAATACTAGAAACCATATCATTTCATCTCTAATTATTTCAGCATGTATCTCTAAAAGATAAAATTCGTTGTTAAACAAAACTGCAATATCATTACCACACCTAAAAAAGTAACAATAATCCCTTAAGATCATCAAATATCCAAAAAGTGTTCAAATTGCCAAGTCTCATGAATGTCATACTTTCTTTTAACAGATTATTCTAATCAAGATCCAAATAAGATCCACACATTGCAATAGCCTTTTTAAAATATCAGTAGGATCCCCCTCCTTTTCTCTTTTGTCCCCCTTGCAACTTGTTTATTGAAGTAACATCTTTCCTTCCGAGTTTCCTTCAGTCTGGATTTACTGATTGCATCCTTGTGGTATAGTGTAACATATTCCTCTAACTCTTTCCTAACTCCTGTATTTCCTAGAAAATTGGAAATTACATCTAAAGGCTTGGTCAGATTCAGGTTTGATTTTTTTTTTTTTTTTGGTCAGGACTATTTCATAGTGTTTGCTTCCATCAGAAGGGACCTAATGTCTAGTGTGCGCTTTTTTGTGCTGTTAGTAGCCGTTGATGTTCAATGCCAAGTCTCCCAATGTTTTCGGTTTGCCCATCTCTTTTGTTCACTGTTCCCCAGGGAGCTGGAGCTTCTGGGCAAGGCTGAGTCACAGGCTAACGTCTCCCACTAGCGCTAACTTTGGACCACTAAGAATTTCCTGGGATCCATCGTCCCGAAGTTACGTTTTTTTCAGAATGATTTTTAAAAAACAAACATATCATTCAATTCAATTAATGAACTTTCAGTAAATAAGTACAATTGTATTAAAGTATAATTGTAAAGTTGTATAAAAGAATAAAGTAAAATTGTATTAAAATATAAAACGAAGTTTTTAAAAAATTTAAAAGCACACCGTTATTGGATGAATGGCAGCATTGTTTTGAGCCTCCTCCATCATGTCTATTTCCACTTTTTCTTTAAATACCCATTGTTTATTCTGTGTTAATTTCACTTTACCACTTATTTAATGCTCTGTGAGAACCAGGATGTCTTAAATGTGCAAACCTTGGATTGTTACAGACCTTGGATTCCACGCAGCTGGTCTCCTCCAGGAGAACCTCAAGCAGAACTACACCTCTGTAGTTCTCTTTTCTCAGGCGGGCGTGGGCCTTACTGGTCTCCTCCCTGTAGATGGCTCCGGCTTTCAGATGGCTGTCTTCTGAGCTGGAGCAAGTTTGCCTCCCTCCTCTCCTCTCTTCCTCTCTCTCCTTCCATCCTTACTTCCTTCATTCTTTCTTCATTCCCCTCTTCCTTCCTCCCTCCTTTCCTCCCTTCCTTCCTACCCTCCTTTCGTCCTTCATTCCTTTTCCCTTTTTCTCTTTACTTTTTAGCCAGCATGATACTCTCTTCCCCCCGTCTACTTTTAAACCTCCTGACACTAATAAAACCTATGTTGATGCAAAGATAACTTGGGCATGGTAAAATGTGAACTTGATTCTCTGCGCTCCAAGCTGTCTTTCCCAATGTGGAACATTCAGTCATTTAACAAACTCTGATAATAAATTCTAACTATGTACTAGGGGTGTGGGGAGACAGACAAATTACAACACAGTGGAAATGCTGACGAGAATAGATGCAAACAAAGTGCCATGTGACAACTAACAGATGACTCTGCTGGGGAGAACTGGGGGAAGGGCTTAATTTTGGAAGTGACATTTAAACTGAATCTTTAAAGAATATCATTAAGACAGCATGTTTGTATAAAAATAGTTAAGGAAAACTTAGTGTAAAGGTATGTTATTTTATTGAGGCACTGAACCCAAGTTCTTGGCTAATGAACTTGTCTTTTGTGTATAGCAACAACTTACCATAGCAACTTTGCCTGCTGGAGAAAGTGAGACTTGCAATATGTTGTTTCCTTCACATGTATGCAAATACGTGTATGCATAAAATATCATGTTTACCAGCATTCCCACCCAATTAAGAGTGGGAAAAAATAACTTTTAGGCCTGAGAAGTTTCAGGGTGTAGGTAGACATGGTCACCTTCCTTCCCCCACCGTGGCAGGATCCTGTCTTTCAAGTAGTAGTGAAAGAAGGTTCCCACGGTATGGACTCCTGAGTTATTGCAAGGGTCTACACATCCACATGTGTGCTAAGCATTATCTTTTGGCTGAGTAAATTATGGTCTCCCATATAGATGTGTTCCTTTTTTTCTAATGTATATAAAATAAATATTGTTGCTATTAGAGTACAAAGTCATTTAAAAGTATCATTGAAGTTATAGTATTAGCTCTCTGTCATTATGTATAGTTTTAGACAACAGATACTAAAATAGAATTACTATCTTGTATTTTGGGGGCGTGAGGGTGTGTTTTGTGGTTGGGAATCCCTTGAAAATGTTTGACGTTAAAAGGGGTCCTCATAAAAGGGGTCCTCACAAAACCTTGGTGACGGTTGAACAATAAAGAAGTATATTAAAAAATTGTTTTAACTTACAAAAAAACACACATACATGCAAATAAGAGGATCTCATATTTGAAGAAACTGGAAGTCGTTGGCCTAGAGTTTTTATTAATTTGGCCAGTGTTTAGCCGTTAGCAAGCAATGCTCTGCCCCGAAACTTTAAGTGCCAGGAGAAACAGATAGAGGGTCCTGCATTCCTGGAGCTTGTAGTCTGGTGGGGGTGGCATTCAGCTCATCACTCGTGAATGTGTAATCGTACAACGTGATTCTACACTGCGACCTGACTTTACACTATGGTAAGTGCTATGAAAGGAAAAGTCTACAGAGCTTTGCAGGCGTGTAAGGGGGTGGGTGCAGACCTGGTATTGGGAGAGGACTCAGAGAAAGGCTTCCTGGAGGAAGTGATAGTTGGGCTGAAATTTGAAGAATAAATGAATATCGATAACACTCATAAGAGGTCCTTGACTACTTTTACTATTTTAGACTCTTCTCCCCCATGGCAGGAATGATGTGTTCATCAGCATTCCACCCATAGGTAGTGTTGGACACGTTGTGAGCCTCAGTTACTGTTGAGTGATGAATAAATAGAACATTGGGTAGAAATGATTATACTGCGTTTATTCCAAGGATGTCTGTGAGACCTGGCATCACCTATTTTCACGTCTTTAATTTTCATATTTGTATTTTAATTGGTTTTACAAAGACTTTCAGATGATATTACTGTATAACCTTCAAATATACAGGAAATGCTTTGCAATTTAATTGCTAAATTTGTCTTGAACAATCAACTGAATCTGTTGCTTCTTTAATTGTTCTTCTTGGTTCTCACCTACATTTTTGTATCTGCTCTCCCACCGGTATGTTCTAGATAGTATACTTTCAAGAGAAAATGTTTATTAGCCCTTAAGAATGCAGTATTCTCTGTATTTTAGATGAATATACATTTTGAAACTCTGTATTTTGAAATAACAGAGCAATTGATTCATATGGCTCTTGGTAAAATGTCAGATACCCAGACTGAGCCCACCATGTGCATCTTTTCAAGAACGAAGTCTCTGTGGGGTGGGAGTGGAGCTTGCATCCGCCTTAGGTGTGCATCATCTTTTCAGGTGGTGGAGAAGTTTGGAGAAGTGAGGCACGGAGAAGGTCTGTGTGACTGGCAAAATGTAAATGGGATCTTTCTAAGACTTCTTCATTGGCTAAAGTAAAACATTATTTTTTGATATATAACTTTTACATGGTTTCTAATCCTAAACCAAATTTTGGATCAGTATTAACTTCCATACCAAAAAAAAACGTACAAATAAAGATAAATAGTTATAAAATGCCCTGCTGGAAGGTCAGTTAAGGCTTCCTAATATAAACAAAGATGTAATGATTAGGAAAAATTGTTTCTATCGACCTTTGTTACTACCCAGAATATTTTTGCAGAGATTTGGATGCAGCTTAAGTCAAATAACGTGCCCCAAATTTACCAGTTACACACAGTAAATGTGTTATTGGTAGGTTGTCCCTCAACACCAGTTTAATAATTAGACCTTATTTTGTTTCTAAATCTAAGGACTTGAAATAGAGTATCACTTTCAACTTTTTATTATCTGTCATGTCCCAAGATAGGTACTAAAACTTTTCAAATGAATTTTGTAGTTTTTATTATGTGGTTTTCTTTGAAAACACAGGACCACTTGTAGCATCAGATTTTTAATGTTTAGGTCAAAGAGGTATATATTAAGATGAATAGCAAGAATCGTGGTGGTGATGATCAAACACTGTATTTTAAGGTTGGAATAGCTAAGGGAGAGTTTCTCACTCATTTAAAAACTGGCATTTCTTCATCCCAAAAAGGGAGAAATAAATGAGAAAAATTATAGCAATAATGACATTTCCTTTATAATATTTAAGAGCTTCTAATAATTATTCTTGTATATATTCTTTTTCTTTCTAGGAAAAGCCATTGACAAAATCTCTACAACGTGGAGAAGACCCCCAATTTGATCAAGTATGTGATATGTTATATATGTTATAGACTGGCTTTTATTTATATCAAAGTGCTCAAAGGCAAAGTCTGGATGCTCCCTATTGGTGCATCAGTGAACTTCCTCAAAGAGCCTACAGGGATGTGATTGTAGGACCTGTAACCTGCAGCTTTTACAGTTAGGGCTTAGAGTGGACGTTCCGTAGATGTCTATTGATTTGAATTGGAAAGAACTGGAAAATGCTGAGATAATGTGAGTAGGCCCTCGATTGATTGCTTCTTAAATCTTTGCATACCAGAATTAAAGAAACTAAGAAAAGATAAAGGAACTTCCATTCAAAAATGTATTGAGACTGTTCTGAGTAAATGATCCTTGCTACATGATGATCAGATCTCTGCACTAAAGCTTATTCATGTTTTCATCCAGCATTTTTTGTGTGTGTGTGAGGAGGATCAGCCCTGAGCTAACGTCTGTTGCCAATCTTCCTCTTTTTGCTGAGGAAGATCAGCCCTGAGCTAACATCCATGCCCATCTTCCTCTACTTTATATGGGACGCTGCCACAGCATGGCTTGACAAGTGGTGCATCAGTGCCCTCCCGGGATCCGAACCTGTGAACCCTGGGCGGCTGAAGGGGAGCGCATGCACTTAACCACTATGCCACTGGGCCAGCCCCTCATCCAGCATTTTTTTGAATGCTACTATTTGCTTCACACAGTGCTACACACTGGTAATACAAAATCTAGGACAAGTTTTAGCACTTCAAGAATTCACAATCCTGTGAGAGAGAAACCCCTAAACAATAATTATAAAACAGTGTAGTAACTTAGATTCTAATAGAGAAAGTGATACATGAGTGAAACAATTTAAGACAGAATAAATTTTTTAAAAAGTCTGTTGAAAATAGATCAGGACTAGTAAAAGGACTCCAACTCTAAATAGCAGGTGATAAACATAGGAAACCAGGATCTGATAGATGCTCGTTCAGTAACTTCAGAATGGTTTTAGGTATGTTTAAGAATGATGGCTAACAGGACATCAGAGGAAGGTGGAGATGTGGTTGTGGTGTTTCCTAAAATTCTGCAGTTAATGACAAAGAGGACAGCATGTTCTTCAAAAATCTCACTTGGTGCCAGTGGCAGAGACCAAACCCTGCTGGATGCACCATGGCCTGATCTTTTTATTGTCTTATGCAGAATACACAGAGTACATTTTCTGCAGGGCTTTGAAATTACCGTTAATGTGGAATCAAGAGGAAAATTCTCTGGCTGTTAAAGTCTGGGCTTGTTTGATCCAAAAATGTAAGGACTGACTGTAGAGACAAAATCCTCCATTTTCTGTTTTACAAGTTCACAAGTGCGTGCTCACGGCCGGTCTCAGACGGCTGGTGTGGCTCTGGGTTTGCACTCTGCTGCTGGCAGAGCTGGCTGTTTTCTGGAACGCTGTGAAATGGAGTATGGGCTTCATCTCTCTGTGTCATGGAGCCATCTTCTCTCATCATATCATCCTTAGTTGTTGTCACTTGGTGGATGCTTGGGTGGTCAGAGACCCTGGGTGAATGTTTAGGGTCATTATTTTGGAAATGTGGCAAGTTGTGGCTCTTTCTGTTCTCTTTAAGAATGTAAATATCATCTGTTTTCCATAATTTTTCACTCTATTTTATATTCTTTGTCTCTATCCTATTAGATTATCACTGTCCTTTCCTCAAAAAAAAAATTTTTCTTTTTCTCCAGCTTAATGTACCTCTTTCTTTATTCTCTGGGAAAATAGTACTCCTAAATTTCAACATTGCAGATAACATTTATCCCAAATGATTGGGCTCAAAGACACTTTTTCATTTATCATTCAGCACTCTATTTCTGCATTTCGGCATTGTGCAAAAGAGATAGCCTTTGGAATTAGACCTGGGTTTAAATCGCAACTTGGCCACTTAATTAGCTCTAATGTTTAACCTTGCTGCTCAAAATGTGGAGATGCAGAATCGCTGCCCTGCCCTAGATCTGCTGAATCGGACTCCACACCTTAACAAGATCCCCAGGTGACCCATACACACATTACGGCTTGAGAAGTACTGCTCTGTAACACATCTCTGTGTATTAAAGGCACTTTTGGAGGGAACCACTAGTGACGTGGTCACTGAGAACTTTCAAATAAGACACATAAGACTATCCTCTGATCATTAAATTGTAAATTTACACACGAACCTTGAAAGAAGGCAACCTACAAAGTCTATCTCATTTTAAAGACAGATAGCAAGACTCCCAGGCCATAAGGAGACCTGACTGTTTTGGTCCACCTGTGGATTCAATGAAAAAAAAGTCAGCAAAGTCGCCTTTGAAAGTCCCCATCCACTCTTTCAACAGCAAATTATAAGTATTGTGGTTCCATTGGCAAGGCCATGAATGTATCAAGCTCTCTTAGTCTTTTGATATTAAATGTTTAAATTATCTAATTCCCCTTGTTCTGATTCCAAGCAGTAGGATTTTCTTCTGGATTCACACAGAGGGCTGTCTATGGGAAAAGAACACACTGGTGATGCCACCTTGCATAGTATAGACTTCATCGCTATAATTGTGGGAGCAGTAGCATTGTAGAAGTAACATTTATTTAGTACTTACTGTAGGATAGGCACTACGCTAAGTATACCCTTTGAACAGCATACAACTGGTCCCTGTCTAGAGAATATTTTTATCAGTTTCTTCCTTTTCAATGTCACTGGCATAATGAGAGGCGATAGAGAGCTGGGCTTCTGCACTTTCAGTGCCTGATCCTGGGCAGCCCTGTTTACTCCTCCACATAACAAGCCTATGATGCATTTTTCTCTTGCTAGAAATAGAAGCAAAAAAAAAAAAATCATGTAATACTTTATAATATGCCAAGCCCCTTCTCATATATTATCTCACCTAACATCACTCCATCCTCCCAACAACCCCAAGAAGTTCTCATCATCATCATTATCATTATCATCATCATCATTATCCCTATATTACATTTAATGGAAATGAGTCTCAGAAGGGTTGCCCAATATTATATAACTAAACCCTGAATGAGCCGAGACTAGAATCCATGTGTTCTGACTATAAAGCCTGCTTTTTACTGTGTAACATGTTTATATTTCTAAAAACTAAATTGGTGAGAATTCAGAGGAGAGTTTCCAACAGGTAAAGGATCTAAAATCCTGTATCAGTTAAAATTAGGTTTGGCTGCAAATGACACATAAAATAACAGTGGCTTGAACAACGTAGAAGTTTCTCTGTCACGTTCAAGAAATACAAAGAAAATCAGTCCAGTATCCTTATATTATTTTTGTTTTCCTGTGTATGGCTTACATTTCCAAGGTCATCTCATGGTCCAGTTTGGCTTCTGGAGCTCAGCCATTACATCTGTATCCCAGGCAGCAGGAAGGAGAAATGGAAACAGAATTATAGAAAAAAATCCGAATGAACAAAAAACAGAACCTCCCAACATTGCACACACCACTTCTGCTTATATCCAGTTGGCCAGATCTTCATCATATAGCCACATACAGTTGTAAGAAAGACTGGGAAATTTTATTTTGAGCAACCATGTGTCCATCTAAAAATGAGGTATTTTATAACTAAGGAGGAAGAGAAGAGTGGATATTGGGTACTACCTGTCTTTACTAGATATTATACAGCCTATTTTTGCCAAAATGCCCAATAAAGAGTACTATTTACAGTTCTGTACCTCTTTTTTTTTTCCACTGTGACATTCTCCTAGAATTTATCAGTTTTCCAGTTTGGATTTAAAAATATGTAAAACTTCATGTTTCCTTAAGTTTTCTTTTATATTTCATTCATATGTAATTAACTATTGGTTTACTGTCTCTTAATTTAACCTAAATACAATCTAACCTTGTATAGAATAGACCTAAAAAAAAAAAAGCCCTAGTATTTTATAAATGACAAGATGTCTAAACAGGATTAATTTTTTTTAAGCTCAGTATTAGTGGGAGAAAAATCATACTAGTGACTGCTTTACACATTAGAGAGCTAGAAATTTGTGCCCTCATACCCAGAATTTCACTTTTTACAAATTTCATGAATGTGAGCTTGACCCATTTTTATGCAGCCCATACCATGTGGTAACTGTGTGCCAAGTATTATGCCAGCTTGTGGAAATAAACTTGAAGGAAGAATGGTGCCTGCCATGGAGAGGCTCCCAGTCCAGTGGGAAAGACAAAGAATAAACATGTAATCAGAGAAACTATAACCTCAGGCTAGTAAGCAAGCTCACAGTGGAAGGACCAAGCATGGTGTGAGCCCCAGGAGAGCAAGCTTTGCCCTGCACTAGGGAGCCAGGGAGGGCTTCCAGTCCCTGCTAGTGAGAAAGTCATACCTATAATGAGAAATAATAAAGGTAGAAGAGATTTCCAACAGCATTTTGAAAATGTGTATAGCCACTAATTTGTTTTTTTTTTTTTTTTTTTTTTTTTTTATTTTGTCCCCCCAAAGCCCCAGTGGATAGTTGTATGTCGTAGCTGCACATCCTTCTAGTTGCTGTATGCGGGACTCGGCCCCAGGATGAACGGAGAAGTGGTGCCTCGATGCGCACCCGGGATCCGAACCCGGGCCACCAGCATCGCAGCGCGCGCACTTAACCACCAAGCCACAGGGCCGGCCCTCACTAATTTGTTTTAAATGCCGAAATTAACAGTCAGGGCAAAGAAAGTAAAATGAATGAAAAATTATCCTGGTAATAAAGTTCTTTATCTTTGCAAACATTTACCGTGTGTGTGTGTGAGAGAGAGAGAGACGTATGACATACACACAAAGCTCTGTATGGGACAAAGAGATATAAGGCTTGGTCCCTGCATTCCAGGAGATTCCGATCCGGAAGGGGATGATCTGACACAGGCCCACGTGTGTAAGAAGTGCCACATGGATGGTACAGACAATAAACATTATGAGGCTTCAGGGACAGAAGATGTGTACTACAATTTTAAAATAGGTCAAAGGCATTAAAAGGTGCAGAGCCCCCATAGACTCAGAATCAGATAACCCC